ATGCCTGTAGTCCCAGCTACTTGGGAGGCTGAGGTAGAGGATTGCTTAAGCCTAAGGTTGCTGTGAACTGTGACACCATGGTGCTCTACCTGGGGCAACAGAGTGTGAGACGCTATTAAAAAAACAAACAAACAGGTGGTGCCTGTAGCTCAGTGGGTAGGAGGCCAGCCACATACAGGGGCCTGGGCCTCCTAAAACCACAATGACAACTGCACCAACAACAAAAAATAGCCAGTCGTTGTGGTGGGTGCCTGTAGTCCCAGCTACTTGGGAGGCTGAGCCAAGAGATCACTTAATCCCAAGAATCTGAGGTTGCTGTGAGCTGTGACATCAGGGCACTCTACCCAGGGTGACAGCTTGAGACTCTGTCTCAAAACAAACAAACAAACAAAAAACCCCATATCAGGCTAGGCTTAGTGGCTCACTCCTATAACCTACCACTTTGAGAGGTCAAGGTGGGAGGATCATTTGAGCCCAGGAGTTTGAGGTTGCAGTGAGCTATAATGATGTCACTGCACTCTAGGCTTCTATCTAGGCAACAGAGTGAGACTCTGTCTCTACAAAATAAATAAACAGGGCGGTGCCTGTGCCTCAAAAGGGTAGGGCGCCGGCCCCATATGTTGGAGGTGGCGGGTTCAAACCCAGCCCTGTCCAGAAAAAAAATAAAATAAAAATTACCAAAACCAGGTGTGAGCTCCACTGAGCTTATGAGTTCAAGACCAGCATGAGCCAGAGCAAGACCTTGTCTCTAAAAAAATAGCTGGGCATTGTGGCGGGCGCCTGTAGTCCCAGCTACTTGAGGTTGCTGTGAGCTATCATACCACGCCATTCTACCAAGGGTGACAAAGTGAGACTCTGTCTCTAAAAGAAAAAAAAAAGAAATTAATTTTATGGTTGGGGGTCACTATAACATGAGGAACTGTATTAAAGGGTCACAGCATTAGAAAGGTTGAGAACCACTGCTGTATAATCTTAAAATACTAAATACATGATGCTATAAGTATAGAGAGTAGGGAATCACCAGATAGATTCTAAATTATAGTTTTTTACTATTTTTGAAACATGATGTCTAAACTGAAAATGAGATCCTCAGTGTGATGTAGGATTTAGACCTTGTTTACAGACCTAGTTACACTAGTAACTTATAATGTATCTTAAGAACAGGCAACCTTTGTAACCTCTCTAAATGCTTCTTCATTTGAAAAGTGGAGATATCTTTCTCTGAAGCAGGTTAGAGGAAAATAAATAAAATTATTAATTAAATGACAAATGAAGCCGGCATGGTGGCTCACGCCTGTAATCCTAGCCTCTGGGAAGCTGGGGCAAGTGGATAGCTTGAGCTCATGGGTTTGAGACCAGCCTGAGCAAAAAGCAAGTAGACCCCTGTCTCTACTAAAAATAGAAAAACTGAGGCAAGAGGATCACTTGAGCCCAAGAGTTGGAGGTTGCTGTGATCTATATCACTATGATACTCTACCCAGGGCAATAGCTTGACAGGCACATGCCAGCACATACAATCTACTTTATGGTTTTTAAAGATGTTTTTAATGAGTAAAAATACTTTTACTTCTCTACGAGGTAAACAAACCTTCTGTGAAGCTGGGGAAGAAATAAAGACAGGATGGGATAAAGAAGCAAGCAGGTTAAGGCTGATCATTGTGATGTCACATTAGAACCACGTGTTAATTCATAATCCTGGCTTATTTAAAGAGACCCAAGGACAAAAATACATGTAAACCCTTTCTCCTATAATTTTAACAGAAATAGTGATGAGACAGCCTATAGTTGACTTCTCCTGAACTTAGAAACACTGCCAAATGGCTATACTAATGTTCTTTTTATTTTTTGCCTATAATTTTCACAGAAATAGTGATGAGACAGCTTATAGCTGACTTCTCCTGAACTTAGAAAATTGTCCAATGGCTGCACTAATGTTCTTTTTTAATTTTTTTTTTTTTGAGACAGAGGGTCAGGGTCACTATGTCACCCTCAGTGGAGTGCTATGGTTGTCACAGCTCACAATAGCAACCTCAAACTCTTGGGCTTAAGCCATACTCTTGCCTCAGCCTCCCAAGTATCTGAGACTACAGGCACCTTCCACAATGCCCTGCTATTTATTTTATTGTAGTTGTTATTGTTGTTTGGCAGACTTGGGCTGGGTTCAAACTGGCCAGCCCTGGTGAATGTGGCCAGTACCCTAGCCGCTGAACTACAGGCGCAGACCCTATACTAATGTTCTTAAAACAAAACTATTGGGGCGATGCCTGTGGCTCAGTGAGTAGGGCATCAGCCCAATATATGAGGGTTGAGAGGTTGAACCTAGCCCAGGCCAAACTACAACAAAAAAATAGCCAGGGGCGGCGCCGGTGGCTCAGTGAGTAGGGCGCCAGTCCCATATACCGAGAGTGACCTGTTCAAAACTGCCCTGACCAAACCGCAACAAAAAAATAGGCGTTGTGGCGGGCACCTGTAGTCCCAGCTACTCAGGAGGTTGAGGCAAGAGAATTGCCTAAGCCCAGGAGTTGTAGGTTACTGTGAGCTGTGTGACACCTCCATGGCACTCTACCAAGGGGGATAAAGTGAGACTCTATCTCTTAAAAAAAAATAGCCAGGTGTTGTGGTGGGTGCCTGTAGTCCCAGCTCAGGGAGGCTGAGGCAAGAATCACCTACACCCAAGAGCTGGAAGTTGTTGTGAGCTATGATGCCACAGCTCTCTACTGAGGGCACAAAGACTCTGTCTCTTAAAAACAAAAACAAAAACAGGTGTAATATAAACGCTCCTAATTCTATATGAAATGAGCACATTGTACCTCATAAATGCATTAATGTATACATGATCTATGTGTTTATGATTTTATTAAAAATATAAAAAAACCCAAAACTATTATCTGACTAAAATTTATTTATTTTTTTGACACAGAACCTCAAGCTGTTGCCCTGGGTAGAGTGCCATGGCATCACAGCTCACAGCAACCTCCAACTCCTAGGCTTAAGTGATTCGCCTCAGCCTCCCAAGTAGCTGGGACTACAGGTGCCTGCCACAATGCCCAGCTATTTTTTGGTTGCAGTTCTCATTGTTGTTTGGCAGGCCCAGGCTGGATTCGAACCTGCTAGCTCTGGTGTATGTGGCTGGCACCTTAGCAGCTTGAGCTACAGGCACTGAGCCATGTCTGACTAAAATTTATAGGCACTTCATTAAATTCTTAAATTTCTAGCAATTTCTTTTTTTTTTTTTTTTTTTTTGAGGTAAGAGTCTCCCTATGTCTTCCTTGACAGAGTGGCATGGCATCACAGCGCACAGGAACCTCTTAGGCTCAAACTATTCTCTTGCCTGAGCCTCCCGAGTAGACGGGACTACAGGTGCCTGCCACAATGCCCAGCTATTTTTTTTGGTTGCAGTTGTCATTGTTTAGCAGGCCTGGGTCCGGCTGGAGCCTACCACCTTCGGTGTATACGGCTGGGGCCCTATTCACTGAGCTATGGGCACCAAGCCAATCTCATATTTTTTCGAGATAGAGCTTTGCTCTGTCACTCAGGCTAGAATGCACTGGCAATAATCAATAGCTCACTGTAGCCCTAAACTCTTGGGTTCAATGAGCCTCCCACTCCAGCCTCCCTAGCAGCTGGGACAATAGGCACACAGCACTGTGCCTGCCTATTACTTTTATTTATTTATTTATTTATTTTGAGACCGAGTCTCACTATGTCACCCTGGTTAGAGTGCTGTGGCATCACAGCTCACAGTAACCTCAAACTCTTTAAGCTTAAGTGATTCTCTTGCCTCAGCCTCCCAACTAGCTGGAACTATAGGCAATCACCACAATGCCCAACTTTTTTTGATTGTAGTTGTTATTGTTGTTTGGCAGGCCCAGGCTGGATCTGAACCCGCCAGCTCCAGTGTATGTGGCTGGTGCCCTTGCCACTGAGCTACAGGCACCAAGCCTTATTTTTATTTCTTGTAGAGACAAGGTCTGTATATGATGCCCAGGCTGATCTTGACTTCCTGATCTCCTACTTCAATCTCATGAAGTTCTGGGATTACAGGTGTGAGCCACTGTAATCTGCTAAAGATTTGATCTTAAATAAATATACCGTATTGACCTTGAAAGACTATGCTCATCTTTCCACCCCACAAATAACTATAATATACCCTTTTCCTTCTCCTCACTACTGCACATGACAGTCTTACAAAGAAAAGAATAGGGTGACACCTGTGGCTCAGTGAGGAGGGCGCTGACCCTATATACCAAGGATGGCGGGTTCAAACCCAGCCCCGGCCAAACTGCAACAAAAAATAGCTGGGCACTATGGCAGGCGCCTGTAGTCCCAGCTACTCGGGAAGCTGAGGCAAGAGAACTAAGCACAAGAGCTGGAGGTTGCTGTCAGCTATGATGTCACAGCACTCTACCGAGTGCAACAAAATGAGACTCTGTCTCTAAAAAAAAAAAAAAAATAGGCTGGGAGCAGTGGCTCATGCCTGTAATCCTAGCACTCTGGGAGGCTGAGGCAGGTGGACTGCCTGAGCTCACTGGTTCAATATCAGCCTGAGCAAGAATGAGACCCAGTCTCCAAAAATAGCCGGGAATTATGGCAGGGGCCCATAGTCCCAGCTACTTGGAAGGCTGAGGCAAGAGGATCACTTGAGCCCAAGAGATTGAGATTATTGTGAGCTATGACACCACAGCACTTAACCCCAAGGCAACTGAGCTAGACTCTGTCTCAGAACAAAAATAAAAACAAACAACCAAAAAGACCAGCCTAAGCAAAAGTGAGATTAAAAAATTATCTGAGCATTGTGGTGAGTGCTATAGTCGCAACTACTCAGGAGGCTGAAGCAAGGGGAACTCTTGAGCCCAAGAGTTTGACATGGTTGTGAGCTATGACACCATGACACTCTACCCAGGGCAACAGACTGAGACTCTGTCTCAAAAAAAAAAAAAAAAACCTATAACAAATTAGCAATGAAATTAAAAGTATATTAATTTAATAAACATATTTACCAATTCTTTTAGTTAGTGATGGTGTTTTTTCAGCAGTTGTTGCCTATAAAAGAAATATGAATTATAAGTTAGAATTCTTTTTGGTAGATGGCAATTACCTCCATTTGAAAAGTTAGATTAATCATAAACTTGAAATAAATTGGCTTTATTCTAATTCTGTGTATGAATGTCTACATGAAGCACAGCCTGTCAGAGCTAGAAGTTGTTAAAAGATCATCTAATTGAATCCCTTCAACTTTACAGATAAGAAGCTGAGGCCCAAGGAGACTGAATGACTTGATGGTAGGGCTGTCACGATAACTCCACTCTCCCATGATAGTCCAGAGTTCTCTCCACGTATTACTAATGTCTTGACCACCCCAGTTCATCTTATCAAGTTAGATAACATTTCTGAGATTTTATTTCATTTATTTTTTTAGAGACAGAGTCTCACTTTGTTGCCCTTGGAAGGGTGCTGTGGCATCACAGCTCACAGCAACCTCCAGCTCTTGGGCTTAGGTGATTCTCTTGTTTCAGCCTCCCAAGTGGGTGGGACTACAGGCGTCCACAACGATGCCCAGATATTTGTTGTTGTTGTTGCAGTTTGGCTGGGGCAGAGTCCGAACCCGCCACTCTCGGTATATGGGGCCAGTGCCCTACTCAATGAGCCACAATCGCCACCCATCATTTCTGAGATTTTAAATGTCTGCAAAAAGTTTGAAACTACTGGCGGTGCCTGTGGCTCAGTTAGTAGGGCGCCAGCCCCATACACCAAGTGTGGCGGGTTCAAACCTGGTCCTGGCCAAACTGCAACAAAAAAATGGCCGGGCGTTGTGGTGGATGCCTGTAGTCCCAGCTACTTGGGAGGTTGAGGCAAGAGAATCGCCTAAGCCCAAGAGCTGGAGGTTGCTGTGAACTGTGACGCCACGGCAGTCTACTGAGGGTGATAAAATAAGACTGTCTCAAAGAAAAAAAAAGTTTAAAACTACTTATGAGTGGCTCAGCACCTGTGGCTCAAGTGGCTAAGGCGCCAGTCACATACACCTAAGGTGGTGGGTTTGAATCCAGCCTGGGCCCGCCAAACAACAATAATGGCTGCAAACAAAAAATAGCCAGGTGTTGTGGCGGGCACCTTGGTCCCAGCTACTTGGGAAGAGGAGGCAGGAGACTCACTTGAG